CTTCATCTTCATCTTCATATATAATTTTTTTATTTTTATATTGATATAAATCATGTGCTATACAATCTCTAATAAATGCGTAATTATTATCATTATAATTTTCTTCAATATTTTCTTGTCTTTTAAATGTATTATCTGCTTCCAATAAACTTTCTTCAATTTTGTCACCATAACTTTTACAAATATTATATAATATATAACAAGCAAATACTATGCTTGATATGATTTTAGTTTTAACTTCAATTGGTATATGTAAAATTCTTCAACATAATTTAAGAATACCAAAGGCTTGTTCAATTCTAATACGAGTTATTAAATGCACATAATTATAATATTGTTATATTGTTATAAGATATCCATTATCATGATATGGTACAAGAAGCCAATCAGTATTTGCATAATCACTATCATCAAGTATATAAGAATTTGGTGGTTCTAGTCATATTACTAGATTAGAAAATCTTTAATAAAAAGATGAATTGTGTAAAACTCGAGAATTATGAGTAGTACCTGCCCAATCACAATAAATATCAAGAAATTTGCACCAATAATCACATACTGCTTGTAAAACAACACTATAAAACTTCTTTCAATTAAAATAATCAATTACATCTTTGGATAGAGCTTTAATTGGTATATGACTTCCATCTATTATTCCAATAACATGTAGAAATTTTTTTATTACTGAAAAATCTTGGATTATAATTTCAAATTCATTTATTATTTTGAGAAATCTTTTTTAAAAATATTATTAATTAATAATATTTTATTTAAATTTAATTTTAAATATAATACTAACCTAATTTCATTTTCTAGAAAATTTTTATTAATCATTTTAATAAAATTACGTGATACATAATGAAAGGTTGATTCTGCCATACCACATAATTCTGATACAGCACACAAAGTTCCACCATTACCAAGCTACCAAATTGTCACAGCAAATTTTTGTTCTAAAGGTAATCCACATAAAGATGTTTTTGAATCATTCATAAAAGGAAAGAGTGAATTAAATAACCACTCAAATGTTGATTTTGTTAATCGATAATATCTTTTAAATTCCAAATCTGACCATTTCAAACTCATAAAAATCCATTTCATACTTCTTTGTCTAATTTTTTGACATTGTTTTTTGATTTTATTTTTTTCTTGCTCTGTTTCTAAAATCTTAATTACATTTATGATAATATCGAGAGTATCTTCTTCAGATTCTTCTGATGAGGAAAAAAAAGAAGAGCTTGAAGACGAAGATGATTCATTCTATGATTGAATAAGTGCAAGTATTGTTGTGGTATTATTATCATTATTTAATTCATTATTATTATTATTCATTGCTTCATTATCTATTTTTTATGAATTTAGATACGTAGTAATATTAGCCAATCAAAATTGCAATCTAAAATGCATGATGAAGATATTGGTTTGAATCATGAAATCGTGTGAAAAAGTTTGGATTTGGTTTGGATTACGTCAAACCAAAACTAATCTAAGATTGATCAAAACCAAATTCAAAACCCCTATGTGAAGATATCCATTATTTTAAGAGTAAAAGATCTCTACTATAAATAAGTTATATTTTTTGTTTTATTGAGAATAGAGATCTCTACTATAAATAAGTTATATTCTTTTATTTTTATTTAATTATTTAATTTATGTATTCTAGTTTTTATCTTTTATTAATCATAACCTTTTTTGATTAATAGTTTTACTATTTAATCAAATTAAAATCTTGAATTATATCAATTTCTAGTAATTTTACTTAGTTAATCTTTATAATTTCTTGATTTGTTTTATTTTTTCTTTAGTATTTTACCCTTTTTAAGATAATATCCATAGATATTGACATAGGTCTTAGAAATCTTTATTATTATTAAAAGTTATAGTCTAATTCTTCTTACTTTGCCTTTAATTATTTCAGTCTCTCCCAATCCTATATTATTAAGATGAATTCAAGTAAAAATCCACTTACTAATTCATCATAACATATTTTTGGTGCTCTCTTTATGAAGAAAAATTCTCTTTATACCTCTTATTATATTCATATACTTTTTATATTTCTTTTATATTTCTTTTTATATTCTCTTCTTTTATCATTCATAATTAATAAATATTTTGAGTCTTGAATTTTCATACTAATTATTATTTTTTTATTGGATTACCTATTAATTATTACTTTGAGATATATCAAGTTCCTAATTACTCTGTTAAAATATCCTCTCAAGATTTTTACTTCTATTATCATTCTCTTCAATCTAATTTTTCTCTTCAATTTTATATCTTTTATTTGCTTATAGAATATATTAGAGTAATATCAATTAATTAAATTATATATCTGTTATTTCAAGAATTAATTCAACTTGATCTTATTGAAATACATATTAGCTAGTTGAGACAAAGAATAGTACTATTACAGTAAATCAGTAAGTGAGTTTTCACTTTAATTCACCCTAATGATATAGAATTGGGAGAGACTGAAATAATAAAAGGTAATGAGAAGGGAATTAGACTACAACTTTCAATAATGACAAAGATTTCTAAGATCTATACCAATATCTATGGATATTATCTCAATAAAGGGTAATAAAATAAATAAATAAATAAATAAATCAAGAAAATTATAAAGATTAACTGAGTAAAGCCACTAGTAATTGATATAATTCAAGATTTGAACTGATTAAATAGTATAAACTATTAATCAAAGAAGGCTATAAC